CACACACACACACACACACACAGACACACTCCACATATTTCCACCACCTTCACGATAATCTTCAGTCCTACCTCGGCTGGATGTTCACTGGGACTTCAGGCTTTGGAGGCTCCACACATAGCATCGCAGGCTACGCATTTTCAAACCGCTGTCGCCTGTAGATGGTGATCCACCTCTAGGTGATGTGAAGAGAAGGAAAAACTTAATCCTGAACGCAAGCGGGACAATATCCGGGCGCAGGGGAAAGCGCTGCCCGGTGTCGTGTGTTGTTCAGCGCGGGGGGAAGTAGCCTCGGAGGTCGGTGGTGGTGCTGCTGGTGGAGGAGGAGGTGGAGGAGGAGGTGGTGGTGGTTATCCTGCTGTTTACTTCAGAAACACTCCTCTTCTTTTCCTCCTGCCACAACTGAGAGAGAGACACACTGAGTGATAGAGAGAGAAAGGGAGGGAGAGAGAGAGAGAGAGAGGTGTGTATCAGTTTGCTTTTCCCTTTTTTCCTCCCTCTCGTTTTTGGAGTGAGGCGGAGCCTTTGCCCACTTCTCCCTCTCACACACACACACACACACACACACAACACACACGCACACAACACACACATACAACACACACACACAAACACACACACACACACACACACTACACACACACACAAACACACGGATGAGACACCTCTTGATGTTGGTGCAGATGGGACAGTGAGACTATTCTAGAAAGCTGTTTCTAGAATAGTCTGTTAATGTGACATGTTTCCCTTTAGCCATTTCTTTTTCTTTCGTCCCCTGTAACTTGAAGACTTTAGCTGTGAATGCAAAACTTTAGCTTAACACGAAACACCTGCACGCACTTACTTAGCTTGCTGTTATCAAAAATAATGATGAAGAAAGATTAGCTTAACACAATACGGTGTGCACATTGATACTTATAAGTTAGCTTACTGCTATCAGGGCCGAAGAGACGTATTCTAGAATAGAAGCTTTATGAGCAGGTTTCAAACAAGTGATTTACTGCATTAAAACGTGATAAACAGCTACTTTAGCGAGTAAGACGCTGCAATTTTATCCTTTTCGTAATCCAGCCGATGAATTAAGAAATAACAAAAATAAAAGTTAAATGACTAAATGTGTTTACCAATACACTTTAAGCTACTTTTAGGGTTTTCTCATTTCAGTTAAATTGCGAGTTATTAGTGCCTCAAAAGTTAAGAGTTAGGAGGCATTGTTGCTAGCTAACATTACAGTTAGCTACCTAACATGTAGCTGTGTTATTTGGTTGCTAGTGTTATTAGCATTCTGTGCGTGTCATTTGATCTAGTGTCAGTTCGAACATCCTGAAACTTGATTGTTATATGACCATATAAAAATTATCTTCAACATAATAGTCTGACTTTAGCGAGCTAATGTGTATTTTATCATTTGGTTCCATTACGGGGTAGTTACAGTGTGCATTTAGCAGCTAATCTCTGTAAGAACCAAGAACTAGTGACTGTTGTGCCAGTCGTTTTAACTTCATATGTACATTTACTTAAAAACTTGTGTTTAAACCAGAAAGGAAACAGAAAGCTTAGGTCATGATTTCTCATGTGGGCTAGCCTCTTTTCCAACTGCAACGCTAACAGTTCAATATCCGTCATTCAACTAAAACATATTTATATCAAGGTAATGTTTTACTACACAGAGTATTAGCCCTCTTGTTAGTACAGAAAGAAACTGCAGAAACATGGCACCAATGTAGCCTTTACTAGTTTTGTCCATAGAAAGGTCTCATCTTAATTTTTTTAGCACCTCTTAAACTGTAATCTGAAAAATGTCCTCTGCTTCCCTGTTTTAACCACAACCCATTTTCCTTCATTCGAGGACTCGTCTCTTTTGACGACCTTTTATCCCCCTGTGGGTCTAGAGATTTATTAAAGGCCATTAAAAAAACTAAAATATTGAATCAACAACATTAATATTAGATTTTTCAAAAGACGACACTCCAATGAGCTATACGATGTACTGGGTGGCTCAATTCTGTTGCTGGATTTTAGTCACAAGCACAATTTAAAATGTCAATGGGATATTTAATGAGATGTTCTTACTTCTGGCACAGAACGTGGAAGTTACATTTTCACTTTGGCTCTACTTGAGCTGACTGACAGCTGGTATATGCAAGGACCTCCTTTAATACATTTTTTAACTAATTATGGATTTAGTCACACAGACTACTTCTTTTTGGTTTAAAGGGAGTATGTTTGTGTTTAGGGGACTTTAGATTCAACACTCAACTGCATGTTGACTCAGTTCATTTTTTTTCTCTTCATGCTACAGGTGCAGATAGCAGCGACTGCAGCTGTGCCTTGATGTCATGCTTAAAACATGCAATCTACTGCTCTCCGTTATGTTTAGTTCCAGTCTCAGTAAGTAAACTGATTGTGGACCCTCCATTCATTCACACATAACACGGTGCAGATGGCAGGGAGCGTCTTTGGATTTTCCATCATTTCACTCTCTGTATAATTTCCCAACACCTCCAGTGTGCCAGTGTAAGAATAGAGCATTCCTCAAAGACAAATAAAGCAATAGATTAATCATTTACATAGCTTCTGTTGCTGTGAACTCTGTACCATCTAGTGTGTGGTCCCGGGCCTGGGGGCTCTTGGCCCTGTCCAGAGAGCATTTTTCCCTGTGGCCATTTTGTTTCCAGCACAATGTAGCTACTGGGCACGAACCCAGGACACTCCAGTCCAACATCGGCCACCAGGGAACACCAACAGAAGCATATGTTGACTATGGCAAAACGGGATGGATGACAGGCCACTGAATAAAAATAAGCAAGGACATAGGCTCTGTAAATACAACCAAAAACTACAGTAGCAGGACAATTTAAAGGTTTAGAACATTATTCAATATACAAAATGACATGTTGGTGTCCTAATTCATCGTATGAGTTACTTTTTATTTTCTTCTTTATGTCACTATTAGAATAAGAATTATTTAAAATCTGCTTAGTTGCTTTAGATTTAATCCAATAAAAGGCTGTCTTTAGTTTATATTTTCCTGCATTTATTGTAGTTCAGAGGTTTTCCATTTCTTCCCCATGCAGGATGGAACATTTTCTAGGGACCCCTCATATTTGTCCCTTTGAATATTTGAAATAGCCTATTTTTTACACTTCTACTTAATTATGTGATAGAACAACACCAGAGAAATGTCTTGGAAATATACAAGACATGTATTAAAATCATTTTCACCATTTCAACACTAAATAACCATACTTCATGATTATTTTAATGGTTGAATCTGGACAACCTGGCTGTGTCCACATACCCCTATTTGAAAACCACTGTTGATTTAGATTATTTCTCCCGAAATACTATATTATTTACTGTATATTATAATCCAGAATGAAAAACATGCAGTATGATTTACACTGTGTCCCACTGGCATAATAATCTAGTTCTACTAAACCAATACAGTGCTGTGGATTATTAAAATGTATAAGGGTTTGATAGTATGATTTGCTTTTTGTTTATACAGTATTTTTTAGAGGATGACAGTCAATACACACACACCCTCTAATCTTTTCACTGTACAGTGGATATTTGAGAGGATCAGTAGTGTGCAACTGCATATTTCTGCAGAGAGACATTATTTCTTCCCTCAATTCCTTCTGGCAGAGATCTGAGTGTTTGACCTTTTTAAAATGCAAAGCGATTCTCCTACTCCAGAGAGTGAACGGGAGGCTCATGATTGTGCTACTAAATTTGAGCGACTTAATGCTGTAACTCACAGAGAGAGGAGAGCTGTTCTGCACCTGCCGAAGTCTTGACTTGGTTACGGGGATACAATAACACCTCCAAGGGTTATGTTAATCTTTAAAGACGGGTTATTCTTATGCTGCCCCACTCTTTGCTTCATTGGAATGAATATTTCACTGCAACCTTGAATCACTCTCTCCCTTAAATCACTTTATTGCATATCATTTCTTTTTACTCGGTCTGTGTGCTTACCACAACACATGGATCACTTGCCTTACAGTCTCTTATAGCAAAATAAAACTGTGAAGATCTTCATTCAGACAGTCTATTCATACATACATCTTTTATTTAGTCAAATAATGCTACCACTCCGAATAACTCACCATGGTAGATACCCCTGTAGCCACAATATCTACGATTTTATATAAATATTTAAAATCAATTCACATATTTCATCCTTTTTCTTTAAGGAGGAGAAGTGCAGTTAATTTATCATTAACATCACCACCAGAACACTTATCATTATCAGCAGCTAAAAAGAAGAAGAAGATCATGTTAACCGAGACTTTAATATCTTACAACACACATACGGGATATTGTAATGAGTGGCTCATGGGAGTGTAATTTACATTCAGTAATAATGTCAGATTGTGAAGAGTGTGCCATCGCACTGTAAGTACCTCATCCACCAAGTGTGCACACAGTTCATCAGCATGTATTTTAACACAGCTTTTGAGATGGAACAATATGATTCAAACAATACCACTCTCACCGAGCTCGCATCTAATTATACACCAGTATATTATAAAGCCTCTGACAGTCACAGCAGCCTGTAAAAGACACTGGCGCACTTTTACAGCCTCCAATAGATGCAAATGAGACAGATTTACACCTTTGACTGGAGAATAAGTGTGAAAACAGTTCATTAGACTTGTTGTGAAGTGTCTGGATGTTTTTTTTTTTTATTCCTCCTACAGAAACACAGCACCGTGAATGTTTATGTGAGACAAAGCAGTTTCCAAAGCTGAGTACATAAACTTTAGAGATGGTGTGTAACAGAGCAAACTTCAAGCTAAATTGTCTGATGCATCACTTTGTTTCCTTTGCACTTGTCTCTCACAATTAGAGGACTGTCTCAAATGTGGAACTCGTGGAACATATTTTTTTTTATCAGGTTTCTGAAATAACAGCCTCCATTTCACTTATACTAGAGACTGTATAAAGAATCAGATTCTGTGCGGAGTGTGTGTGTGTGTGTGTGTGTGTGTGGGGTGGGCCGAGCTCCTGATCTGTGAATTGGGACAGATCCATCATTTTACCTAATGAGATCAAACTGCTCTGATGTGGAGGTTGTGAAGGAGCAGAGCAAATTAGCTTGTGGAGCTTGTAAAGTAGTGATGAAATACTTGGTAATATTTCCACAAATATGGAAAGCCAAAGTGAAACACTGCTGGAGCTAAGATGTGTGTTTCTGGGGGGAGGATAGAAGTGTCCGTTTTGTTGCCTCTGGGAAAATATTAAATAAACATAGAATTACTGAAACCAGTCCATTTGTTTTTTTAACTCATTTAAGCACATTTTTGCTAATCAATCACAGCACGGCTCACAAACTGAGTGAAAAATGAATTCATCCCTGTATAAACTATTTTCTTGTTCTCTCTCGGGGAAGGTAAGTTGAACAGACTGCCGCTTGAAGGTCTTTGTTTACAACCAACCTAATGTAATTATACTCACCACCTACACACAAATTAGCATGCAAACTGTGTCGGAGGTTTGAAAAATACATGGAGGAATGTGATTTTAGTGCAAGGATAGGTCTGATCGTCTGAGGCAACGTCTCAGTGCCTCGACACCAGGACTCTAGGCAGGGAGACGGCACCGATGGGAGGCTGGAGCAGGACCACAGCTAACAAGCTCCAGAATTGAACACCTATGTACAGCGCAGAGACGCTTCAGCATGGGGAGCGCTTATCTCCACTGAACAAACTGGAGGGATGGGAATGTTCTCAGGATGTTATCATGTCCTCTGTGGAAATGAGATAGCCAACCACCTTTATCACCACCCTCAGACTCTGAAGGGCCCATGACCATTAAAGGAACAAGGACCAATAGGCTGCCAGGGGACTCTAACCAACTGGCTGCCTGAAAAAAAAACCTGTCTGCCTGAGAATTGGACGGATTGGAAGTTGAGTGAGTGACAGGAGATTGGAAGGAGACTTGCTGTTGGCTAGTTAAACCCAGCCAAGGGAGTTAAGAGTAGCTATTTAGACAGGATGCTGAAAGCTAAACATTTGACATGTTACTCATAAAGTCATACGTGAACCATGACATTATTAAAAAGGATAGAAGAACAGGGAAAGGAAAATCTAAAGAAATCAGGGAAGCCGCATGTTAGTTATTATTGGCAAAAGGATTTTTGTGATATGTGATTTAACGGCAGCATCTCCATGGCAACTCTCCTTTCAAGTCTTTAATGAATACGTAATGGCCAAGCACAACTTCATAATGTCAGAATTGATGCCCAAAAACTGACATGAGGAAAATAAAGGTAGATTCTTGTTTGACAAAAGTGAGGACAGTCATTTGCATAGTGCATTCCCTAGCCCCTTAACCTAACCTTAGCCATCTCTAATCACCCTAACTTAAAACTAAGGGTTCTGTGTGCCTGTGCCCCTCGTGTGCTGCGTTTTAATCCCAACCTAGAATAAACCTGATTTGAAGTCTTAACATTCAAACAGCCCTTTGAGGACCGACCAAAATGTCCTCACCATGCTCAAAATGGTCCTCCAGTTCCAAGTAGAAGTATACACACCAACACACACACACCCTGACCCTTTTTGATTAACCTAATCCTAATTTTATTGAAGACAAGTCCCCATAATGTGACTGTAAACAGATTTAGGTCCCGATAGCATGAGTAATACCTGGACCACACACACACAATCACACAATGTACCATAGCAACACAAATCTTCCCTCTGTCGCTGTTATTTTGACTGTCTGGCAAATCCACCTCTTGTTTTCAAAGCATTTTTTTCTCTCTCTAACAGGTGCAAAACCTCTCAACTCAACACATCAAAGAGACACATGCACCTGCGAATAAATCACAGCAAATGGTAAGAATCCAGACTCGGGCCTCCCAACACCAAAGAGGTAGGATTCAAAGTGTCTGATTTAATATTCATGAAGTGCAGGGCTTTGGCGGCTGAATGCTTGTTTACGGAGATGTGTCTTTTGTCCTTGGGAGAAGGTTTGATATTCCACCAAGAAACTGTTATTTACATACAGCGTGCTTGTGGTTTTGCCTCGACATGATAAAACACATACATCCTCGCCTAACATGGTGTGTATACAGTACGTACACTACACCCCCCCACATGTACTGACTTAGACTGACACACCGGTTTTTTCCTAAGAGGTTCTCACTCCCCTTCTGAAGTATTAAAAGCTGCATACTACTCTTCCAGCAGAGCTAATGAGAGCTTGTGATTATGAAGTGTCGGTGGTTTCATGTGCGGAGGAGTTGTTCAAGTTGTGGCAAGTCCAGAGTGAAGCAGTGTCGTCTGAAATCTGCACCCACAGGGACAGAGGTGGCAGACATTCAGTCGACGCTATAGACAGAACCAAATCAAACACAAGCACTGGTGTGTCTCAGCAATAAACACTTCTCTCCTTCTTGTCAACACCTCTGCACCTCTTTAAAGAACTGTTTTAGATGAATTCAAGTATGATCGGAACACAAAATTAATTATTTAACATTTGTGCAGGCTTGTGTTTTGTTGTCATATGGCAGTGAAAGGGTTTAAATAGAGCTGGTAACCTTCTATTTTCTTTTGTGCACTTGTTTCATCAAAGGCATGGTCACTACTAACCCCTTGGCCTTGCAGCTTGGAGTCAGACATGCACCTGCATCCCAGGACCAGTTATTTTTGGCTAATGCAAAAGCGAGATCCTCTCATCTCAAAGGACGGCTCCTCTACAGGGATGTATCACAGCGCTCTTGTCTCACCTTATAAAACCTGTGCTTCACCTTTTCAAAAGTGAAACAACGCCCACAAGGTCCTGTATGTGTATCAGCTAATTACTACAGTGTAAAGAAAGCTTTTGAGAAAAGAAAAAAAAAAAAAATCTCCCAGATGAGTACTTAAAGAAAGAAAGCAGCTGGCCAGAACATACTCTAGAGAAACATCAGCTATTGGAGCGGTTGGGGATACTTTTCACTTAAGTGCTTTTCTCTGAGCAGTGTTCACTGTCGTTCGCTCCCACGCTTCCTCCTCCTCCTTTCGCAGGGTGGCACACATATACTCACACACACATATCCATCCCTTTCATCCCCAGGGGTGAAATAAACCCATGCATCATGACTCAATTCAGTCTTAATTTATTTCACATGGTCTAATTTAATGTCTCAATGTTCATATGCAATGATTAAAAATAGCCGGATTCTTTTTAATAATTATTTACCCTCACGTTTCCCCTCGCTGATCATGCACATTACTCAGGGGTTTTGGTTGTTACATTTCTCACACAACTCTGCCGCAGAACAAGACAGTGGATTCTGATCAGATTCAGCAGTAACTCATGTAGGCCTGCTGCCCTCTGCTGGTTGAACTGTGATATCCCACAAGTTCAGCATCTACAATGGGTCCTGCGATAAACCCACTACAATATTTCACTGTTATTTCAGAGGCACATTATCAAAATGGCCATGTGCCTCTACATAGGCAAACAATAACAAGGTTTCACTTCAGGTAAAACTGTTTCCTTTGCATAGATATATTCCTTATTACAATTTAGCCTTTACAAAAGCAATCTGTCAAGGTGCAAGCACAACTGGCTTTCAAAGAGGTTGGGAAATGGCACTCTGGTTGGTTCATTGCACGTAACACCAGAAAACACATCCATGATTAATTAAGAGACTGATGGTGCACTCCTGTGGTGTTAATAATTATTAACTGGAGGAAAGCTACTCTGAAAGTTGTCTAAAATTTAGGTGCACAAGTTGCAGAGTTGCTTATGTCACCACTTATAAACCTGTTATACTTTTACAATAAGATCTACATATTTGTTATTATGCAAATAACTGAGTTTTTATTTAACAGCTGGACCATCCAACAAAGTTCACCTGATGTCCTCAGTGATGCCATCTAGTGCCTCAGATGGCACCAGTGGCTCCGGACAAAGAAGATGCTGAGGAGTTGGTGGCTGCTTGCTTTAATGGTGTTTCTACCAGGTCGTGTCGTCCAAACCACATGAAGTTCTCCCCTGCCTGTGCTGAAGCTGCCTCTGCAGCCTTCTGCTTGTGGTTTCGGGGGAACCGTCTGTAGCCGGCTGGAATATCAGCAGTCTGCTTCACATTGAAGTCAGTCTGGTAGGCTGAGAGGTTCCCTCCGGTCTCTGATGTGCCAATGTCAGGTCCATCGGGGAAGAGGCAGAAGTGAGAGTTGTGCTCCCTGCGATCATTGGGACCCTTTCTCCGTCCCACACCCTGAAGTACACCAACATGACATGGATGCAGTGAACAAATGTTTTTCTTTCAAGCTGTAATATAGTGATAGGTCCAAGCATTTTGTTATGCACTTTATGTCTCCTCATACTCACACAAGTGAAGACAGCGATGTCATCTTTCAAAGAATGCTTGTTGTCATGGTCTGAGAGTGGATACTCTCTGGATCCCTGTGAAGAAACATATGAAGAAAAAACTCAGACAGTAAAACAACTGAGAAAAGTGAGAAGGCACTTTTTCAAAGGTTCTTTGATATGAAGTGCAAGGGCCATGACAGTAGTGTATATAAAAGAACCGGTCATGCAAAACACTGCTGCACATACACACCTGATGTTGACTTTTCCATTTAGGATAGTGTTTAAAGCTTGAAACCTGAGGCAACGAGGATTTAACCTGACTAAGCATGATCCCAGTGCTTGTACAAGTCTCATGGTCTCTCCTCTCAGTTTCTGGTAAAACTGAGTGAGCAAACTAAGAAGAATGTAAAAGAAAAGCTGATTATTTGTTCACGTTTTAACTTGTATGTTGTGATTAAAATAAAGAATTTCTTACCCATTTTCCGTCATTGCTCATTGAAGAATATTGTTTTCCACCTTTTACCATTTTAATCGACTGAGTGATTTCACCAACACGCACAGTTCAACTTAACTTAACAATGCACAACACTCGTCACTATGGAAACAGTCTCCAAACAAACAACCTGGAAACTGAGCTCAATTTGTCACAGAGATGTGGAACTGGAATTCTGACAAAAAACTGCTTCTACTAATCAAATAAAAGGATAAATAATTTATTTGGATTTACAAATCAAAGCAGTCAGATAAAACACAAAAACACAATAAAAAAGTAGGAAACTAGACCGAATGAATAACCAATGGCCAAGTGTTTTTTGATGTAAAGAAAGACATGAATAAAGTAAACATGATGGGATCACAGGTAGGACATACAATAGATCAAAGACTTTTTATTTGATAAGTGTATTAAATTAAGAATTGGGACAGCTTCATCAGGTATATGGTTGAATATGATATTCCTCAGGCAGTGTCATTGATCCAATGTTGTTTTCCATCATGATCAATGATGTTTTCTTACAAGTTCAGCATGGGTCACTCTATGCTGATGATGGAGCCTTGTGGAAAAGGGGAGGCAATATTAAACATATTATGTGAAAGATACCAGGGGAAAATTAATGTCATAGAAAAATGGTCACATTCATGGGGAGTCAAGTTCTTAGTGGAAAAAACTAAAGCGATAGTGTTCACTAGAAAGAGAGGTGTTGATAAGTTGTATGGACAAATAAATGAGCAAGTGAAAGTCTTCAGGTTTTGTCTGAAATGTCATATTCCTCAGGAAGGGTGTTCCAAAGCCTTGGGGCAGTTATCTCAGAGGCTCTGTCCCCCTTAGTCTTCAGCTGAGTTTGGCCCAGCTAGTAGACCCCTGCCTGGGGATCTTGAAATACGAACAGGGTTATACAAAGATAAGAGATCTGAAAGTACAGTATCTGTACAGTTTGTGACCGGTCTATAGTTTTACTATATAAGCATGTAAAACGTCTGATGTAGTAATCCAGGCGTGTTGAGATAAAAGTATGTAAAATAATTTCATCATCTTTAAAACTTAACATTTGTCACTTCCTTCCACAGCGGCAAGGAGTTGCTTAGCCACAATCTTTAGATATTTTGTGATAAAAGGTAGTTTTCAGATGAGTCTATTATTTTCTAAAATCATGTGATCGAGCCCAGGCTTTTTAAGGATTGGCTGAATACTACTATGAATTTAGTTGATTAAATAAAACCAAGTGTTTGAGAGTTACAAGAAAATGTTTCTTTGATGATTACAAAGTCAAGGAGGGATAATTTTATTTTACACAACAATATATTACAATGACATATTCAACTTATTGACAACTTATGAACTATATAATACAATTATACAACTTATATTGAACTTAACAAACTTGTTTTTTTCATTTTTAATACAATTAGCTATGCTAAAATGTGTTAAAATGTAACTATTAAAGATCCTGGGTTAAGATTTTGCAAATAAACATTGGCTAATATTTTTGGAACTGCTACATGGTCACTTATACCAAGCACTGATTGTAAAATGGTCTAATTCATGAATCACTTCAGATGCTTTTTTAAAATTCTTCAATGAGATGTGTCGACAAGTAATGATTTTTCCTTTTCCCGTTGTTGGAGGTGCTTCTTCAGCTTTTTAGCCAAACGATGCCACCTGATGAAAAGCAGGAATCACTTAATAAAATCTCCAAAACTGAGCTCATGTCGTCATTTGCAAGTGAGCTAACTCTTATTTTGAGATCATCAACCTCTCTTACCGTTCCTGTGCATCGTTGTACTTATTCACCCTGTCAGCCTCCTCCCTCTTCTCCTCCATCCATCGTTGCAACAGTTGCTCTTTCTCTCTCCCAGCCTGCGTCAACGTTTCCTTTAGACCTTTCTGCTCTGCTCGCAGGGCGGCCAACTCTTTGGACTGACACTCTACGGTGAATTCATATTCTGAAAGGGTCGCCTTCACGGTGTTGTTCCCTTTAGCCAGGTTAAGTGCCTCTTGACGGTATTGGGACACACTGAAATAGCAAAGTAATTCAATAATGATTTATTCAACCTCCAACCTTTTCTTTAGAATCTTTGATGTTACACTTTAGGTCATAAGTTCAACTTCATATACTGTAGAGCACAATTTGGCTTGACAATTGTTTCATACTGTATCGACTCATGTAGTTCTGTCATAGTATAAAATCTTCTCTAATTGTTAGCATCTCCTTAATTGTCATTATTCTTGACACGTTTGACATACGTTCAGAAACTCCTACAAGTTTAAGTCAGCAAATAAATTATTTTTAAGATTAAACAATGTCTGCAGGCCTTCTCCTTGTGCTCTCTCCAGTAAAAAAAGAAGATATATTTTTTTTTTACATGTAACTGTCTAATGCTCGTATATAAGGTGAACCAAATGTACACAAAACATTTTCATCTTATATTTGGTGTATTTTCATTCTTTCCACTCTCTGACTTTGTGAAAATCATTTTCATACAGTGCATTAATGCCTTTAAAATGACCCAACAAACAATAAGGAAGTATTTTTTGTTTCTGAAGATCATATTTTATGATGACTCCAGTTGTCCATTAACAATGGTGCACTGAAAATTACCGTGACTGCCAGTACTGCAGCTCAGCCTCTTTCAGATACAGCACAGTGGTCAGATCAGAGACGGTTTGAGACAACTGGGGAGACAAAAGAAACAAGGTGATTAAACTGTGGATTATAGAAGGAGTGATGAGTTCAAAGTTCAGTGCCTGAACACACAGATGATAATGTGGTTCAATTTCTTTCCCTGCTGTAACTTCCTGACTTTTAGGTCATTTTACAAGTTTAAAACCACAAAAGCTATTTACTGATGCATGCATTTAATTACAGGGAACTGCTCTTGTTTACACAGTTAAATAAATTTGACTCATATTATTTTATCCACCTTTTCTGACAGGTGCTCAGTCTCTCTCAGCTGCAGATGAAGGAGTTTAGTGTTTTTCCCAGCTTCTACCCCATCTCGCTCAGAACTGAAAAAAATGGAGAAATCTACTTTTATAAATCAAGATGAACAAATGTTGGATAAAGAGGATTTTTTCATTTCTAACCTGTTAGACTGAACATCATCCAGGATTTGTTTGCGGATTTCAAAACGTTCCTCCAGCTGAGACACTAGAATAAAGACAAACACGTGTTCTCACGGCCTGAGACAGAGAGAAAAGGTTGAGAGAAGAATAATGTTGAACTTACGTGTCGTGAAAACACCGACATGAGGCAGTTTCTCAGTTTGGTCTCTCTGCTGCAGTCGAGCACGCACGTGATTCTTCCAGCTGTCCATCTCTGCGGTCATGTGATCCGTCGTCTGCGAAAACCTGGTCAACCCAGCAGCACTTTGAATGTTGGTGCGCGTCTATTCTAGTCTCCCGGTAAATGTTATTGGAGCGGAAAAAAGGCCGAAGACAAAACGTTGAAGGTGAAAATGATCATTGTTGTGGAGGTTTAATTGATTTCCACACAATTATGACAAACATAGTGAAATAGAGTGTTTTATATATATAACTTGCTCATATCAAATATAATATTTTTGTAATACTTGAGGTGACAGATATTTCCCCTCTCTCTTTTTATGGTGACCCCCACTGTCTGTGTGTCAAGTTTCAGAAGATTTTAAAAGTTGACTACTTTTTCTTTCTGTCATTCATAACTTGCTCACTTGCCTTTTTCCTCTCCACCTTTACCCTAAGACAACGAATAGACACGCATCACTTTTCAAAGTGCGCCTGACTGTCCGCAGTCCAACTTGAACTGTGTGTTAACACAGACAACACAAATTCATTAGAATGGAAGTGAAATGTCCGCACCACAGTTTTCACAGCTCCTCCCAGTTCAGTTTAGACAGAGAGCTGCCTGACATTCCCCTGCTGCGTGCAACCACTGACCATGACTCCACTGTCTTAACACAACACAACACAACACAACACAGCAGTACACAACTTGCTACTTGGTGCTTCTACTCAAATACTTTCTCAGATTAAAATAAACTTTTCGATCTTACATTTCTACAGGGAGCCTACTAATTCTGAAAAGCAACATTTTATAAACACACTTTGCCATAAATTTAATGCATTGCTATGGACACAAACAATGACTTTTGTAAAGTACACAGTATAAACTTTACATTTCTTTTGATTTGCAAAGTTTTCTGTCTGCTGATATTTCTGTACCTCTACTTCAGTGAAATGATGAATCCCAAGCTTTTAATTAAGGCATTGCTGGATTAATATAATATAATACAATATAATATACTTTTTTTGCCACTTTTGAAATAAACAAAGCTCTTTATAAAACTCAATATAATGTATTTATCTCCACTTTAAACAAACTTTATTATTGTTCAATTATATAATTTGAGAAGAGACAACAAGCAGCAGCCCTGTCAGTACATTTCAAAATAAAAGCCACCAGAACAGAATGTACTCAACTTTTCTAGAAGGAGCAGGAGCTGCCAGCTCTTAGTACTTCCGGTTCAGTCCCTTTACTAACACATCGCTCTGACTGGAACACATTCAGCGACATGAGCTTTATTTTACATCACTAACTATTCAAATGGACTCTGTGTGTTTCTCCGTAGAATCGGGATGAGTTCCGGAGGTTGACAGAGAACAGAAGAAGAGTTTTGAAGCAGAAACAGGAAGTTGTTGTTCCCTCGGAGCAACGTGTGTTCTGACAACAACAGATGGAGAGAGAAGCTACAGGCTAATTCAACCTGTTAAATAAGTGATCCATGTTCCGGAGGTTAACCGAGCCACCGCAGATTCTCATGTGAGTGTGATTTAATTCCAGTCTTGTAAAACTACATCTTGTTTTTTTCCACAGCGCTACGGTTCAGCGGAGCTATTTGGATTAGCTAGCCTGCCGAAGCTAACATAGCAAACTAAAGCCACCACCACTAACTTGATCGTTACATTTGTCCTCGTCCGTCTTTCATCGTATGTCCGTCTCGTCCATGACAACATGTGCAGGCTGTCGGGTTGTTGAGGAATCGGCTGGATCTTCGGTGCTGTGTCCGGTATGAGCTCTGGGGACAGTGAGCCTGGGACCCCCTGGGACAGTGTGAAGGAGGAACCCACCGGCTCAGGTGAAAACAGCAAACATGTAAGTAACCAGACTGAGAACAGACACATGCTGTAATGGTCTAAAATGATAATCAGACTACTACTAAGATCATGGACTCTCTCAGTGATGATATTGTCCATCAAGGGGTGCAAATTTCCAGCAACTTTGCAATTATTAAAATCTCGTTAAGATAAATACTTTTCCTCAGTCAGAGATCTGGCTTTGCATAAACATTTTACACGTGAAAACCATGAGAAATGTTTTGCAGCATGTGTAAAACCTTAAATACAACCATGAGTCAGTGTTCTGTTGTCTGTCTAAGTCATGATGTTTTATTTTGTAGGAGTCAGCCATATGCTCAGGCAATACTGAAATTAAGAGCTGTGCCGTGGTCAAGTACTCAGCCGCCCCTCCTCCGACCAGCTATGCCTTGCTGCAGGAGAAGACTGACCTGAAGCTGCCTCCCGCCAACTGGCTGAGAGAAAACCCTCAGCTGGGCAGCGCGGGCACCACCATACTAGGCTCCAGCAGCAAGAGCAAGCCTTTTTCTAGGTATAACAAACCCTAATAATACTGTTACTACAAATGGTATGTATTACTGTGATGTGAGGCTGTAGTGATCTGGAAAGTTACAGAGTGCAGTGTGTGCTGCTGAACAGTTTTGCATTATACGCACAGGTATTTCTCAATATAATGTTTTGACCAATCTATTTGTTTCAATAAGGCAACACTAAGTATTCTGAACACCTTTAGTCATTCAGTCAAAGTCACAGTTTATATTAGAGGCTCAACGCGTCATGCTTTGTGCTCTGCTTAATTGTGGGAACCTGCTGGGCAGATGGCCTCTGTTGATGGTCAGAACACACTTATGAAGACTGATTGTTACTCCCTGGTCTATTGACTCCATGTATTCTACCTTTTTTTAATAACTTTACTAAACTAGGACTGAAAAACTTTTCACTACATATCTGATAGCAGAGAATAATTGTGATTATCAGTGGATAAACCAGGAATACTGATAAATCATTAAAAACACTCTAATTAAGTTCCTTTTCTTCTTTTGTAGTTTCGGGATGGCCTATGAATTCATTGATTGCATCGGGGACGATGTTGACGTGGTGTCAGACTCTGAGGTTTGTGGAGCTGCTCCAGAGCTGAAATTTGTTTCTGACACGTGTTCATGCAGCTGACGTTAACATTGTTTTCTGTCAAATTCAGAACATCAAGAAGCTTTTGAAAATTCCCTACAGCAAGTCCCATGTCAGCATGGCTGTTCACCGCGTCGGGAGGACCCTGCTTTTGGATGAACTGGACATTCAAGAGCTCTTCATGAGGTCTTCTCAGGTAACGCAGAGTTTTTCTTTTACAAATCAATGAAATATCCTTACTAGGATTGATGTGCCTTGTTTTAACATTTCCTTCACGACAGTATGAGGTTTAAGGGATAGTATTCTCCCTGCAACATGTGTTTTTGTAGACCGGAGATTGGACGTGGCTGAAAGAGTTTTACCAGCGTCTAATAGATGAGAAGTGGCAGAGGAAAAAGAAGAGTAAAGAGCACTGGTATCAGAGAGCAATTCTGTCAAAGTTTCTCTACTACAGGTGAGTTATCTGTTTACATTGGGTGTTAGGTTACACTTCTTCTTGTGCCTCTCTCTTAGCCTTCCTCTGTGAACACTATGGCTCTAACTATGTGTTTCCTGCAGTATAAATGGTGATGGAGCTGCAGAGCCTGTACCAGACAACCTGAATGAAGGGGAGGTGGAGAACGAAGCAGAGGAGTTCAGTTCTTCATGGCCCACCTCCTTCACCAGCACGCCTTCTGACGCAGAAGAGTCAGATGCTGCCAAGCAGGTCCAAAGAAATAAAATTTAATCACTGAAAAGAATTAAGTGAATTTATTAGACAACATTTTTCTGTATAAATGTGATGAAGGGTTTAAGCACATAACCAAGCATTTTTTTTAACTTAGTTCGTCTTTGGTGAGTGCTAAGCTGATAAGTGGTAAGATGTTGGTTTGCACTAGTTACACTGACAGTGTTGTTTCTATAAAACATGTAGGAAAGTGTTTCTTTGGACAGCAACTTTGCTCTGGGCCAGGTGACATCTGTACTCAAAGAGCAGAACCTCCCAACTCTGTTCAACGAGGGGGAAAACAGTCAGGTAACAAAAACCTTTACAACCTTCTTTAATGGTTTTTATGACTACAGTTGGTAGCTTATGGTCGATATATAATTTGATGTTATTTGTTTGACAGGGTTTAAGAAACGACTTTGTTCGAAACATCATGTGGACGTTCGAGGATATCCACATGCTGGTCGGATCCAACATGCCTATTTTTGGAGGTGGTCGTTATCCTGCTGTCAGTCTGAGACTCAGGTTGGAATTTGTTTGTTCTGACCCAGGATCTGAAATGAATGCTCACTTAGAAAGAAAATAATAATTAAACATTTTCATAAAATATGGATGTGGTGACACACAGTACGTCTCTGCAAAGTAATGATAGGTGCTTGGAATTGTTAGTAGGTCAGGTTTAATAACATCATTCCTTCTTCCACTCTTTCTCTCTGTGTTTTTCAGGGACAACAATAAACCAATCAACATTCTGACAGGTATCGATTACTGGCTCGACAATCTGATGTGCAATGTCCCAGAACTGGTCATGTGTTTTCACGTTAATGGCATTGTTCAGGTAAATTGCTGCTGCCTTTTTTCCAGTGTTGTTATTTTCCAAGTAATTATTGCAATAGATAAAGTTTCATTGTATAATGTGACATTGTTCCGATGGCAGGGAAAATGTTTTAAAAGTTCCATATTAAAAAAGTAACGTAGGTAAAACCTTTTCCTTAAAACCTTCTTTGTTTTGTGGTTTTCCCTACAGAAATATGAGATGATCAAGACAGAGGACATCCCTCATCTGGAGAACTCCAATTTCTCCACGAGGGTTGTGAAAGACATCGCCCAAAATATTCTTTCCTTCCTAAAGTCCAACTGCACCAAAGAGGGTCACACCTACTGGCTTTTTAAAGGTGGGAGACAAACAAAGGGATTCTTCAGTCTGATCACTATTTGCTTGTGTTTCTTGACGTTTTCTTATTGTAATTTTTGAACCCACAGCCAGTGGGAGTGACATCGTGAAGCTTTATGATCTTACTACTCTGTGTGAGGAGGCTGAAGAAGGGAAATGTCAGAATCCCTTCACTCTCCCTGTGGCTGTGTTACTATACAGGTAAGTATCTTAGAAAGACTCTGGAGCATCTTTGTTC